CATACTGAAATAGTGATCAAAAGAGCATGAACGTGTTAGAAAATAGTCAGATATACAAATTGGCAATTCTGAATGTAAATACACATCTACACTCAGTGGATCTTTAATGAAAGTAAGAGAACTTTTATCAGTGAAAGAATAAATTGTGCTGGGAAAATTGGATGTCCAGATGTAGAAGTATATAACTAACTATTTCCATGTGTAAAAATCAACAAACAATGAATTACGGAGTTAAATACTGCACATGAAGCTACATAAAGCAAACAGAAGAATGTTGCAGAATATTGGATTGAAGAAGGCTTTTGGATAATATGCTACAATATAAGAAACAAAAGTAGAAATATTCAAATGTATTGTGAATAATAAAAATAACAAAGAAAAATCAAGAGATTCTCAGACTGATGTGAAATACCATCAAGTCTTCCAATACATACAAAATTAGGTGTTCTATATAGAAGTAGATATGAAAAGCGTCAGAAAGAACATTTGAAGAAGTAATGGCCAATTGCATAACTAATTTGAACAGAACAAATTGGATATGTATTCTATATATCCAATGAGCACCACGAACTCCAAATAGAATAAAGTTTAAAACAAGCTTGTATAGAGATAGTATACTAAAATGTACATGGGAGGTCTTCCCCTTTCTGACTGGAGATGGAGGAGGAGTAGTTTGGTAACAGGAGGAGAGGAGGAAGGGGAAACTGTGGTTAGTAATTAAAATAAGTGAAAAATCCTAACTAAACAAAATAAACAATAAAGTGGTAAGGAAAATAGTCAAATCACAAAGACTATGCAAAGACTATGCAAGAGTCTCAGAAGCAATACACCACAGAAACAGACATGTGGAGATTAAATAATTTCTCCCTTCAAACTGCAAACTGAAATAAAGTAGCCTTCACAATGAAATAGTTTCAACTTTACAGAAGCTAAAGTAATCAAAATGGCAACAAGATGCCATATCGTTGACAGACACATAGTCATCTAATGAAACTATAAAATACTATAAAATACACAAAGAATAATTAACATAAAGAGAAAACAGCTAATTCCAAAGCAGAATTGAGACTGTACTACGTAACTTTCACTGACAGATTGAAAAAATAAAATATTAATAAGGAACTACAGGACTTGATCTATGCTACCATATAAATAGACCTAATATATAAACTATCTAATATATATCTATAGAGTGTTCCACACAACAACAGCAGAATATATATATATATATATATATATATATATACATATACATATATATATATATATATATATATATATATATATATTCTTCTTAAGCGTACCCACAACAGTTCCCAAATACATTATTACAAATAGATGTTCAATTAGCCAGGAAACAGTTCTCAATTAGTTTAAAAGGAATAATGGAATAAATGGAGAACTTATTTATGGAAAGGTAATTTGGGAAACTCTGAATATGGGCATTAATTTGGAATCTGGCAACTTGATCCTATGTGAATAGTGTCTCAAAGTAGAAACTGTAAGATATCAAAAATATGTTAAGATAAAATGAAAACATGCTATAGCGAAACTATGAGATAATGAAAGCAGTGCTTAGAAGAAAACAATGTTCATATTATAAAAGATCTCAAATGAATAAACTGATTTTTCATTAGTAGTAAACCAAACCCAAAGAGGAGTTCTGAATGAAATTTCTGTCCAAACGTGAATTAATACCAAGTCCAAGGTAAGCAGGGAAAGGGACATGGGAAGGAGCAAATATCAATGACATGGAAATGGAAGGTAAAGAAGAAAATTCATGAGTAAATTTGCTTCTTGTTGAAATTCAGTAAAACTTCTATAGTATTCACAAAATTAAAAGCAAATAGATACAGTAAAAGGAAACCATTAGGCAGACAATAAAGGGATGATACAAGATTTATATATGCTGCTTGGTGCCAACACATTAGAAACATTAGATAAACAATTCATTGAAAATGACTATGTTCCAAAATAATATGAAAAAGAAAATGATAATATTCCTATTCATTTTGAAGTAATTAAATCAATAATTAAGATCACACACACAACCTTCTATGAGACTAAAATATTTAATTTATCTGAACAAAAGTGAACCTGTAGAAACCTTCCAAAGACTTAAAAAGGTATAGGCATAGGTCCTCAAACCAAAACTAACCACCAAAGAAAATAAAATGACAAAGTTAAAATATCTCTGGACAATTAGCTCAAAAAGGTTAATTAAATTAAAAAAGAAAATGAAAAATCCATTACCAAATGGAATCTACTTAATCAATTCAAGGTTATTTACAATTCAAAAACATATAATCTATTATACTAAGATAATAAAAGAGGAAATAAATCACACTAGACACAGATAGAATGATTTGAGAAAATTCATATCTATTATGAAAAGTTACAGCTAAAATAGAATGAAAGGAGACTTCCTGAACGTGATGAAAAAAAATTTTCAAAGGTCTGAACTAACACACAACATTTCTTTCTTTTGTTTCCCTATTCAATGGCCTTATATATACCAGACAATCCTTCTACCATTGAAGCCACATCCTAGCACACAAACATCACTCTTAATATTAAAATACTAATACTTTTCTACTCAGATAAGAAGGGAAAATGTCTTCTATTTCTACTTTCAGTGAACACTGCTTTGCACACCCTATCAATGTAATAAAGATTTAAGACAAGGAGGATCAAATGAAACTGTCATCATTTATAAGTGACATCATAGAGCATATATAGAAAATGGCAGAATCTCCTAACAAGCTGTTAGAAATGTCTAGTAAATGTAGCCAGCTCTCTGGGCAAAGATTAAATATATAAAATTTTAGTTGTATTTATCTATGTATAACACCAATGAGTAATGTGAAATAAGCATTTTAAAACCAACACTATTTACAGTAGTAGTCAAAGAAATTGAGCGCCCAGAGATACGTCTACAACAGATAGGCAGAAGACTGAAGACTGAAAACTGTAAAATACCCTCTAAACAACTTAAGTAAATAATAAACATTTCTTTGTACATATGGATATGTGTATGGATTTCAAACCACAGTATTATTTTACTTTACTCAATTCAATTCTGCTTTTATAAAAACAAGATATTTTACTTTGGAAGCTGATAGCTAATTTTGATTTTTATGTAAATACAAAGATTTTAGAGTACTATGTGTAATTTGAAGACTACAGCTGAATGATTTACTCTAGTTCATACCTATCAGGCTTACTGCTTGAAATATGTCATTTTAAAGACAGTTAATACTGATGTACTATGATTCACTGTATTTTTAAGATTATAATATAATCTTGAGAACAAAACCTTTGAAAATAGATCTATTAGTCATCTAAAATATCACTAGAAGTTTTGTCCTTGGTCCTCATAATCACTGAGGGTAGCTTGTTGAGATCTTATAACAAGATTGTAGATTTGTCTGTTTGTCCTTGAAGTTTTGTCTATCTTCTTAGGATGGTTCCAAATTATTATGTACTTACAAATTTATCATGTCACATTTTCTGGATGAATTAAATGTCTCATCATCCTGTAGGAAACATTCTACAGAATTTTTATCAAAATTTTATGGTTACTAATAATGTTGCTATATTATATTTTTGTTGATGTACGAGGAAAGGACCTTTTAAAAATTTCCACTTTTTATTTTATGTTCCTCATATACTATACATATTTTTATTATTTTTTCTAATTCTTACATTCTTAGACTATTTAGATTATTTTTAGTTAATATCATTTGAGACATGTTTGGTTTTAATTCTGCCACTTGCAATTTGTTTTATATTTTCTTATTTAATCTATCTTCCTTTTTTATCTTCAATGTATCCTTTTAGATTTGTTTTACCTCTAATAGTCATTTCTTAAAATCTGGAAGTTAGGCATTTCGGTCACATTCTATTGCTTCCCTTTGATGTACTTTTTATTCTTTTTTCACCAAATATTAATGTAAAATATCATTTTATCACAAAAATTTCATATTGTATCTATCACCTTATATGCTGATTTAATGGATGCATTGTGAACTGAACTTCAAAAGCACAATTTGCATATATCGATTCATATGATTCTGGAGAAGCTTCACGGCTTCTTCTCTAAAGATGTCTTGCTGTGTACTCAGAGAATCAGTGACAAAAAACAATCTGAGAAGTGATATCAACTTATGGGCTTCACTAATACATTGATAAATCTTTAGAGATTAATGAAGAGTGAACAAAGATCCGAATCTTGTTATAGTCTCCCTCTGAATTTTTCAAAGAAACAAAGATTGAAGACAAATTATTTCATGAGATATGTAAGTTCAAGTGGGTGATAGAGAGGAGAGGATTATGAATGCTCTAACTTCCATCTAGTTAAAATTCTTGACTTTAATATCAACATGGTCAAAACAATTATGAATATCTTAAGTATGTGAAATAACATGATCATTAATCTCTCCTTAAATAATTTGAATATCTCAAAAAACAGCAGCTGTCTTTTTGTGATTAATCAGAACTCAAAAACTCATTAAAATGGATGAGAAATAGTAGATTGTGTTTAATAGCAGCACAAATTTATGTTTATTTCATGCCAATTCAAATTGAATTATTAATTTTTCATTAAAAACTTGAGTATAGAATATGTAAAAATCAGTACATTAAATATTCTGGAAAGATCTTTCTTTTCATAGATTTCAATGTTTTGTTTTAAAAATTTAGGCTTTTTCTTATATCTTTGTAGTCTTCATAACATTTTGTATCTGTGTTGCAGAATCCATTGGTTTATTAATGTAAAAAATAATTTAGCTCTACAAATGGAAAGCTTATGCTTTCATATCCATATGCATTATACCACTTTCATTATTTTTAACCTAAATATCAGATATGTAGGTTAAGAATAATTACTCGTCTCCCGTCAAACGCAATGTTACCAGTCGATGTCTGTAGGTTGTTCACAGTACATAATCCGAAAGTATTGAGCATAGCCGCTGCAATTCTATGGCCAGGTATTTATTTACCTATTGATATTGCCCAAACGATGGCAATCTTCATGGTGGCCTTAGTCCGCGAATTGAACCGGCTATGCTCAATAGGATTACGTATTGCTACATACCGGTCCAGCGATATGGCGCAGAGGTGCATGATGGACGCAGTTGAAAATAGCACATCTAGTGAGATCCAGACGGGGCACAAATATCTAGGTAATGGCCAGACATAATCTGAAAGAGAAAAAAGAGAAGACAAAAAACAAAACATGTTATCCAAATTGTACCTTCTACACTTTTCCATTGTAGTCTACTTATTTACTTCCTCTTTACAACATTTTAAAGACGTAAAATTTCATTGTTTATCTCAATGATGGTTATGATAAATAACATCAGTTTTATATATATTATCACAGTACACTTTACGTAATATAAAAGTAACCACTTTATTGTGCGCAATCCCAGGTCATTTAGTATCTTCCCAATATTGTACAACCATGTCTTCCTTATAGGCTTGGAATATTTCATTAGTCCAGAAGAAAAACATTATCCATTAAATAGTCAATAACCCATTCCTTGATCCCCAACTCCTAGGAAAACTCTAGTTATTTTTTGTCATTACTTTGGACATTTCATATAACTGGAATTACTTTTCATAGTGGAATTGATGATAATTATGTTTGGAGGCTTCTATGTGTTCATTTATTATTACCATGTTCCTATTGATAACTAATAGGGTAGTCACATGAGAATTTTCAGATGCTGTTACAATTGTTTTTAAATTGCCTTTATGGATTGTTTATTGTTGCACATAGTATTGAAGTAACTTTAGTTTATGGATCCTATGTGTAGTTTCCTCATGATTTTCCATATATATGATCCCAAATAATATTTTCTTATTTTTCAGTTTTCTCTTGGTATTCTATTTTCTTTCCTTATCTAGAGTAGTTAACTTGTTGTATTGTGATTATTCATTGTATTACTTACTAATCTTTTAAAAATATCTATCTATTTATATCCATCCGTCATCCATCCATCCATCCATCCATCCATCCATCCATCCATCCACCCATCAGTTTGTGTGCTTGTGCATGCATACACATGTGTGCTACCAAAGGCCAGAAGAAGCCCTTTGATCCTCTAGAAATGAGTTTCAGGAATTTGCTTAGTTGCCTGACATGGGTGTTGAAAGCTGAATTAGATCCTCTGAAAACAAATTATGTACTCTTAACCCCTGAGCCATTTCTTCGGCCCCCACTTGTTAATCCTTCAATTCTATGGAAACATATTCACTTTTTAATCTAATTTTGTCAATCATGTCATTTAGTTTTTCCTCCTTTCCTTAGCTCTTCTCAATAAAACTGTCAAATTTTCAAAGTTTTTGATTTCTTAATTGTGTATTTCCTTAGTCTATATTATTGTCTTAGTTGGGGTTTCTACTGCTGTGAAGAAACACTATGACCTAAAGCAAGTTAGGGAGGAAAAGGGTTCATTCAGCTTACACTTCCATATTGCTGTTCATCATCAAAGGAAGTCAGGGCAGGAACTCAAACAGGACAAGAACCTGGAGGCAGGAACTGATGCAGAGACCATGCAGGAGTGCTGCTTACTGTTTTTCTCTCTGAGGCTTGTACGGATTGCTTTTTATAGGGGAGGATGAGCATCCAAAAGGTGGCTCTAGTCACGATTGGCTGAGCCCTTCCCCACCAATTATTAATTGAGAAAATGTCTGAAAGCTGGGTCTCATGGAGGCATTTTCCTCAACTGAGGCTCCTTCCTCTCTGATGACTCTGTGCCCAGTTGACACAGGAAATCAGCCAGTAAATTATATTTATCATTTTGCTAGTTGAGCTGATCTTGCTCTATTTCTCTAGTTACTTAAGGCATAAAGTTAGGTTAAATTGTGGACATTTAGTGGTTGAATCACTCTAGTTATTGAACATTCTATTTCAGATTTCAGTTATAATACATTCTAACTTCCTAATTTGTGCTTTTTTCGTTTTTTTAATACTTCTAAACTTTAATTATGTTCTGTGTTGCAACATCATTTTCCTTGTCTCTTTTAGTTCTTTGTTCACTATTTTCTTTAGCAGTTTAAGTAATTTAAGTTATCTATTTAAAATCTGTGATAATTCCATTATTAGGTTTCCTGTGGTCAGTATCTGTTGGTTTTTTTCTTAAGGTGAACACATTTTCTAATTACTATGTATAACTTTTATTTTGTTTTTTGGAGACAGAGCTTCTCTGTATAGTCCTGATTGTCCTGGAACTTTCTCTATGGACTAGGCTGGCCTTGATCTCACAGATATCCACCTGCCTCTGCTTCTCAAGTGCTTGGATTAACTACCACCTGGTTTATGATATTTAATATTAATACAACTTATATATTTGGGGATATTTTTAATTTGATGATGAAGCACCTCTGTAAATAAGATTTTCCTGTCTCCCTGTAGGTTGATGCTACTTGTTATGTTGGGCTTTTTTGTCTTGTTGTGTTGTGTTTTGCCTTTTTTTAAAAAAAATGTTACTATTTTTCAAATCCCATTTTCATTGTCTTGTATAGATATTACCAGGTCTTGGTATATAGACCGGGCTACACTTAAACTCGGGATTCCCCTGTCTCAACCTCCAAAATTCTGGGAGTTCACCACACAATTTTCTCTCACCTATTTTTTACTAAAATATTTTAAAATGCTCTGTAGGCCAGAAAATAAAATATTTCCTTAGTGCTTTCAACTTGACTCTGAGATTTCTCCTCAGTGCTTGGGAATGTTGTTTAAAACTTTTCTTTAGCTTCTGAGGTTCAGGGGTATCAGAAATCTCATCTTAGCCATCTGGCCAACCCTAGATTTCATGCTTATGCTTGTTATTTTTGGACCTTCAGGGCTATACAGCTTTATGACTTTTACTAAATTTAAAGACTTTTCAATCCTTATTTTTCAAATAGAATGGTCCCTCTTTAATCCATTGAGTCTCAAGTCATGTATATGTCAGAGAATTTTAACATTTGTTTTGATCATATGTTCCACAGGATACATTATTTCTTTTCTGAGCGTGTTTTGCTATCTAGTATAATGAATCTCTCTTCAAATGCACTTAGTGTTTTTTTTTCTGTCATTTACCATTTGCACTTACGTCTATCCAAAAGATTTAAAATGCTTCATGTATTACTTGTCAGCTCTCAAAATCCTTTTATTTTGTTGTTTCTAAAAGATTGATCTTAAAAGAATGTTAAGTATTTCAGATATATTTCAGATATTATGAGTCTTTGGAGTCTTATATGCAATAAAAATTAATTCTCTGGATTCAGCAAATTCAGGAAAATAAAGTCAATAAATATAATGCTCACAAAATAAAATAAAATGTTTCATGAATTATTTTTCAACCCTCAAATTCCTTTTATTTATTTGTTGTTCCTATATGTCTTTTGAAAGTTGCAATTTCCAATGATTATGAACAGAATTATCATCATAATTATAATAATAGTAATAATAACCTAATCTCTGAATTTCAGTATCTGTATGTTTTCAGCATATGCTTCTAAAAAGTGGGTTTATGCACATCCTTGAATGTTGCTTTTCCCATGTTATTTTTGAAAATTTATCATAATCTAATCATTATGAATATTATATTAATGAGATGCCGGATTTTATTCTGTCGCTTCAGAGAATATTTGTGACTTTTTTTTGTATGCCATTATTGACTTAGTTGGAAATAAGTCATAATTTCTATTCCTTGGGTTGCAGCTCAAATGTAATTTCTTAACCTGCTCGAAGTATTTACTAGCAAGCGCAATTTAGATTAGGAAGTTTTAGGAGGGGTTTATGGCTTTCCACAGAAGAATCTGTGGTCTCTTTATTCTATCTTAGCTATTCCTTCAACTTCTCAATTGAATTTGAGATTTATTTAGACTTTTCTCCTAGGTGTGTCTCCCTCCCTCCCTCCCTTCCTCCCTTCCTTTCTTCTCCTAATTCTCTTCTTCTTTCCTCCCTCCCTCTCTACCTCCCTCCCTTCTTCCCTTGTATCCATTCTCCTCCTCCTCCTCTTCTTGATATTGAGACAGAATCTCACCCTTCTAGTTGAGGAAATCACTTTGTGACATTCAGCTATGTCAATCTTTCTGGCTCAGCTAAGAACTAGTGTGAATAACATGCCTAGTTTTATCCGGTTATTTTGGTTACAAAATTGAGGATTGCTTATTAGAACCTTAGTGACATCTCATGGCACAAACTATTTCTTCCTCTTGAATTGTATAAAGCTGATGGATGTGGAAAACTCAACCAGTATCTTTATTCAAATATTCATTGCTAGGAAATCCTCTAAGCACAATGTTAGTGGATTTTGACAGTTAACTTTTCTTTTTCTTTTTCAAAGCTGGGACTTAAACCTCAGTCTGTTATCACTTTTCTTAGCTTCCTTGAATTATATCTGCTACAGAAATTGATTGTATTGATGATTACAGTACTTGACATTTTGTTTATAAAATTTCATTCCCAGGTGTGCTTTAAACGCACAGATGAATAGAAGTTCCATCAGATGAACTATTATGTCTGTCATTTTGTACCATAAATGTAGATTTCTTAGAACAATAAGTGAATTTACATGATCCAGGCACATTTTTCCATACAATGAATATGTGGAAAGTTTAGAGATTTCCATAGTAAAAAAGCATAACTGAAAAAGATGAAATCTTAATTTTAGAAGCAAAGTTACATATAATGTTTTTTACAGGATGACAGAGTTTAGGGAAGGCAAATTATGTTCATACACATACTAATAGAATCTTTGGAAATACACCAGGAAGGATTGGAGAACATCTGTGTGAAGATGAATGATGGTGGACAAATACTAATCTTACTAGCAAAGAAATGAAGGAAACTCCAGAAAGTGGAACAGCTTAGCCCCAAAGAGCAAGTGCTTTGCTTCCAGTGTGGAGTGAGAGCCAGTGAAGAGTGTTAGAATCTTGTCTAAGACAAAGAGAGAACCTTGAGAAAATCTCAGTGCACTTTTAATACGAGATAATTTAAAGATGATAGAGAATTAGAGTCAAAAATGCATTCGGTACTGGATACACCACTGAGTATATTTATAATCCACTAGACAGGAATCTTGGGATCCACATGTCATTTAGTTGATGATAATGTCATCACGACAAGGTCAGCGGCAATGAAGATCCTGGCTGTCTTTGTACCAGTACAGTTCTAGATACAAAGGTCCTTATCTGTGAGGCCCAT